CTGCTTTATCTCAAATAATTTTTTGTGCTGTTATGCTGCATCTAGAATATATGGTCCTTTTCCTCCACTGGCCACAGATCAAAACTTTTTAAACTTAAACATTGAAAAATATTGGAAAATCAAGATCTCAACTTTACTGAGAAAATGCATCATTCCTGTGATCTGCATTCCCTATCTCTTCCTCCTTCAAATTAAGATACATTACATTTGCACGTTTGCATTACGATATGCTGTGTATGTAACAATCAATATCTGGGTGTGCACATATGTACAAATGTGTGAAGTAAAAATGACTATTAAGAGTTGAATTAGTCCAATAACTTGGCACTTTAATGGATTTATTTATTTATTGTTTAGTTTTTATTTTTGAGATGTGGTCTGTCTATGTAGTGCAGGCTGGCTTTGAATTTGCTTATGTAGCCCCTGCGGGCCTCACACGCACAGTGATCCTCCTGCCTCAGCCTCCCTAGTGCTCAGATTACAGGCCTATGCCATCATGCCAGGCCATGGATTTAAGAAGATCTCAACTTGGGGCTGGGGATTTAGCTCAGCGGCAAAGCGCCTGCCTGGCAAGCGCAAGGTCGTGAGTTTGGTTCCCAGTGCCGGAGAAAAACCAAAAAAAAAAAAAAAAAAAAAGATCTCAACCTGATTTTCTTGTGCCTAAAATTTAACTCTTTGATGAAAGATTTTATGATAAATATTCATTTTTCTGTGTGCACGTGACCATGCACATCCCCACACATAGATATTATTCTACACTTCTGCGTTATTTCTTGGTATCAGATGCTTACATGGGTGTCTTCCCTGGTTTCTTCTATTTAGCCTTCACAAACACAAGGAAACTAAATGTGGAGAGCTAATTACATACAAGGAAGTAAGTTAGAAACTTTTATTTGAATCCAGTGTGTCTCATTGCAGAGCCCTGCATTTTAACCACACACTCTCCATTTTGTTTCAGGCTGGCTAGTATTTAGACACCTCGTTTTATGAGTGTAACCCCTCTATCTTTTAACATCTATTACTAAGTTATCTTCAGTTGGTGATAGCTCCTAATTTGCCCATTCCTTTGCCTGTATCTTGTGGCAAAACACGGAATTCAACCACAAATACCTGGTAGAGAATCAGAAGGGGAAAAACTAGGAAACAGAGCCTTACAGAACAGCAGCCAAACAGTGAATTAAAACTCCAAGCGACAATGGCTTTTATGTATTTAACAAATTTATTGATTTTCTTTTCAGTATATTCACAATACTTCAAAAGTCTTCCAGAAGCAAAAATTTGTGTTAAGGATAAAAAACCTAAGCAATATTCTCAATTAGAAATTGTGATTTATAATTGGATTTTGCTCTGTTAAGATGAAATCTTTAATTATGGATGAAATAATTTTCTGAAGCAGAGAGGTAAAGTTGGTTTTTGTACATTTTTATCATTTCACCAAAGAGTCTAAAATTAAACTTGTAACAAAAGAAAAATTTGGCCTATCAATTAGTGCTTTTGAAATCCAGCTCCTTCAGGTTAAGTGTCTAATAATTTAAACATGATTTTCTTTTTTGGTACCGGGAATTGAACTTAGGACCTTGCACTTGCCAGGCAAATGCTTGTGCTACTGAGCTATATCCCCCGTGCTAATAATTTAACCAAAAATAATATTCTTAACTGTTTTAAATTTTGTTCCTTGATCATGGTCCAGATATCTTACCTTTATATGGATCGTAAAGAACAATCACATTTACATCATTTCATTTTAGTATCATTACCACCATTTGAGAAAAATGAATGTGATTGTTCATTTTTATATCTTATTGAGGAAGAAAAGTCTCATCTAATAGAGAGTTGGTACTTTATCTGACTTAACTAGCAAATAAGTGCCTTATCCAATTATACTATACAATGTTAATGTCTGAATTGCATGTTTTAAACTTCACGCAGTAAAATTTCCCTTTGGAGCTGTTGTTAAACTTAGCATAGATGAAAATGTTTAGTTGCTCAGTATGCTTTAAATTTACAAATCATTTGTTTGAAATTACAAAGTACGTGTTAAACTGTAATGTGAAATTACAAAGCTTATAAGATTTTTATTTTACAGTCTCCTCAATGAGAGTATTTGTTTATATATTTCTACACTGATATAAATGTTCACAATTTTTTTTTGCAAAGGGGAAAGAAATGAAACAACTGAACTTAATATGGTATGTCCTTGAATTATTAATAAGTTTTCTAGCAGCCAAAGACTAAACCTGTGAAATATCTGTCATTATAAATGGTAGGTAGTTCCCCTGTGGCCTCAAGTTGCATAAGCAGGATGCAGCCAGATTCATCAAGAATTGTGTTTTGCAGATGTGACCATTGTGAGTTTGTATTGAGGGTGATGAAGCTATGCGGTAGAAAGGCTGCCATTTTAACATTTACACTAATAAATTAGAACTCCATTATTTGGTGCTACCTTTTTGATAACGTTTGTAAGTTCAGTTACTACGCAGTGTGGCTATTTTAGGCTTTACCTTGCATTTTCCTCTAATACTTGAAAGTTTGAATTTCAGCTCCACAGTTAAAATATGTAATGTTGCACCTGGAGGTGCTGCCTTCCTCCGAACTGCCCGGCCCGCCATTGCTGTTCACCGCAGTGGTGTGGGCCTACTTTACCTGCGTTTATTCTAAGTGATACTTTCACAACCGTACTAGTAACAAATGCTTCATTAGGATTAATTTAAAGCTTGCTTGTACATTGTCCTACAATACACTCCTCTTTCATTTCCTGCCATCTTGTTAAAAGCATATTGAGATCGCAAAGTTTTGTGTAGTGCTTGGGAGGAACAAGTGATAAGAATTGGGATTGAAGGCTGGCTCGAGGATACATCACTCTTAAAGTGAAATTCCTGACATTACTCAAACTATAAGAAAAGAAAAGCCAAGCAAGTTGCTAAATTGTGTCCTCCCTTTCTCTAAAAGAACACTGGCAAAAAGTGACCGCATCAAACAATCGCTTGTTCCCTGGTGCAGCATTCACGCACATTGTCCTCTCCTTCCCATCCCAGGATCTCACCTTCAATGCTACACTCGCCCCTTGTCCCCTTAACACTTGTGGACTCTGATAAAATGCCGCTTGTCCCTCTCAGACTTCTTACCATCTAGTTTGTGTTATACCCAAATTTAGGTAAATATAAACTTCATGAAAAGTTTTAATTACTTGAAACATAACTATGTAAGTGGCGTCCTCATCGCTCTTCCTTGTCATGACCCATCCAATTGATGTTCGTCCCCTTTCCCGGAAATTGATACCACGGTTAATAATCTCTAAATTTCAGTCTGAGCACTGTCGTTTGTCCTGCTTTTTCTGACATACAAGCTTATAGAATATAGGATACAGAGAAAATTGGTTAATCTTTCTGATGCCTCACTTAAAGGTAGACAAAGGGCAAACGTGATTAAACTTTATTTTGTAACTTACGGTAGGCTAAAGAACTCCAAGAATCCCAATCTGGAACTGCAGCACACATGTGCACAAATACGGAACTTGTCATCCTCTACCAATGTGTTGGTCATGATCATATTACACAGTTCAGAGCTGCTTTATTGTGATTAGTCATTGTCCTTCGACCTGGGCTATTAGAAAACTTGTAGAAACTCAGGAGGTACAGCATTTTGTTAATGTCACATTGCCTGCCTACCTTGTAGGACTAAGGCTAAGGGGAAAGTTAGCTTTGCACAAGAAAGTGCTTTGGACCACACTGTGCACAACACAAAACTCCTCTTTGCAAAACAAGGATCTTTGCAAAATAGCTTTAAATCTCCCCCATTTCACTACCAACCTATAGCTGATCTGGCAGTTCACTAGAGGTTCTGATAGGAGGAGGGAGGTAAGTTCTCAGGAGCAAAGTGAGGAGTCCCTGTATCCAATTGTAGAGGCCTCATTTATCTCCTGTATTTCCTCAGTGTCTTACAACAACAACAACGACAGATTTCACAGTGAGCACTCCAAAGGAACATGAATTTCCAGCAACATCTTGGCTCTAAAGATATGACTAGGCTCCTCCTTCCTGTCTTGTACCCATGGACTTGTGTGTCAATATGGACATTTACCTATACAAATTAAAGGAAAGGTGAGGCTAATACGTCCTACCAGTCAAAGGGGAGGTAGCTTTGCCAGACAAGCAAGCCAATAAAAATACAATCAAACCAATAAAATTACAGCCATGATAATGTCTAACAGAAATGGAAACAAATTTTTTGCTGAAGATGACTTTGCTACCCCTGATGCTCAGAGAACCTGAAAACAATGCTTTCATTGCAATTGAAAGCCATTCAGATGAAGCAGGTTCTCCTTGTAGCCACTGTGAGATTAGCATGCTCAACACATTTTCAATTACAGGAGGAGGAGATAGTAGAATAGAAGAGGACTCAGGTATTATATAACTCTGTGAAGGTAACTACAGGGAGAGGGCCTATTACAATCCAGAAGGCAGATGTGTGTGCACAGGGTGGAAACCACAGAAATCAGAATAAGATGGCAGGATATTCCCTCAAAGTAGGCATTTCCACTGAAAATGAAGTTTATAGTTTTGTAATGATTTTCCCTAGGTTTTGTTAGACATTCTCTGGACTCTGGTGTACATTTTCTCTTGTGGGAGTGAGACTCTGATTTGAGGTCCATTTCCCAGGCAAGCTTATTTCTTTACCTGTCTTTTGTTTTGAAACAGGAAGCCAAAGGACCCTACAAAAGTGATAATTCTAATGTTTGTGTTTCCAAATGCCAACAGCTGACACAGGCCATGATTCTCTGATTATATTCACTTCATTTCTTTAACATGGATTACTATGCAAAAAGCTGCCCTTCGCTTCGAAAATGAAGAGAAAATAGTTGTTGTAAATGTAGCTGAGAAGAATAGAGTTAAATCTTGTCACAAAAGGTCACAGTTTGCATTTTTAGGTGATGTTCCTGCACTTTTCTGCAATGGAGATGGAGAGCATTTTATGAACCTCGTATCTTCTTCTTTCAGTAGGGTCTTCATGGTTGTGCCTATGTCTCCACAGCCAAAGTAAAGCAGACATTGAAGGTAATTACTTAGATAATTAAGGGGAAAACCTCTCCTCTTTGCTTTCAATGTGGAGCCTGGGCCTCCAATCCAATGAGGGAATTTGGGCATCCAAAAGTGAATATTTTACTCATTTTCTTTCATTCCTATTTCTCAGTGAGGTAGTAAATTTTGTTTCTCTCTTGTGTTTTTCAATAATACTTACAAAAATTCCAATATGGGCTGCATTGTGGGTGAGTGGAAATCTGTCACCTCATCATTTTTATCTGTTCCTGGGTTGAATGCTCATGCTTTAGTGCCTTCTTTCATAGAACTTATTAAAATTATTTTAAAGTGTTAACCTGGGTTTTGCTTCCATATGTCATACCACCTTGGGTTTTGCTCTCAAATATTTTAAATAATACATGCACAGAATTAAAACTTAAGCATCATTTAATTTCAGAATATTTTTGTTCTACCCTGTTGCATGAATTGACTTTGTAGTTTACCACCTGTGGAAATGTATGGACCTCTGCCAAATTTGTGGCCCTGACACTGTGGTACGCCACCTGCCGTGGTATCAGCAGACACGTGTGATGTATTACCTTAGCAGGATAAAGCTCAAGGAGGACAGGAATTAGACAGGACTCGAGTTTGAGGTCCTGAGTTTGCCAGTGAACATGGGAGGATTGTCTCCTTTACAGTTCTTAATAATTATGAACTACAAAGAACAGCTAATTTGACAGAGTCTTCTGTTACATGCAAAACCAAAATAACTTTCAGAGCAACTTCATGTTGAAAATGTTGTTTTAGGCTAGATATTTTGAACCTGCATTTTGAAAATTAGCTTAGATTTCTGAGTATAATGAATTGCCTTTCTTTACCCATCATATATTCTTTTATTCATTCACCATGTATATAGTGTGTGTAGCACATGAATGAGCTAATAGAAATCTTGAGAACATAGTTTATCCATAGCTCTATTTCTTTGTAAATACAGTGTTCCTCAGTACCCAAACTTAATTCTTTTCATGATCCTGGTCACACACTGAATTAGAAGAGAACCTAGTCAGATTTCTCCCTGAGGTGAATGTTAAACATAACCATTGAATTTGATTTGGTTCTCAAACAATTCAGTTTGTGAACTGAGTGGTGGAAAGAATCAAGTTCGGGAATGGAGGTGCCACTGTAGTATACAAATATACTATCAATTCTGAAAATTCAGTGTAATCAACTTGGCGATCCCCACTAGTAGCTGACAAGCAGAAGAAAGAGACGGGCTCCTAACGCTCACTTGGAAAACTTCTTCAGTACATGAGCAGGTACATTGTAGAACACGAGTGCATGGAACCAAACACAGCTCTCCTTGTGCTTGTTGAAAAACATTGTTTGGAGACTTCAGACAATGTTTCTGGTAGACAACTGTTTTCTTCAGACAAGTTATTGGTAAATTCAGGGGAAACCCAGTCTACTGAGCAAATCTGACTACGACAGCTGTGACCCCATTCATCACCAAAGTTGACTGCACTGCTGTTACAGGCTGGTGTTCAGATTCCTCTCCACTCTTCAGGTGTCACTTAGTTCAAGAAAATGTTGCCTGACGGGTTTTGTTTTTTTTTTTTCTAATGAGTTTTCTGGTTCAAAGAACATCAGTATCTGTGTTATGTTCTACTTTGATTGCCCACATTCTTACTTTTTTAAAAAGTAACTTAAAAAAAATCTTGTAAGCAACTGTAAGATGGCATATTTATTGAACTAGAGAGACAAGAAAACAGTTATCTAAAAACACTTTTTAAGATCCTTCCTATTTTAAAATAAGTCTTTAAAGAAAATCTTCATGGTTAGTAAGAATGTGATGGACATGGATTTTACACAAGAGGTTTGCAGGAGTTGGCATGTTAGTTCTTCTAAAATCACCTTTGGAGGAACCTAACCATCAGGCAGAATTTTCTTTTTTGCTTTTCCTGCTTTCTCTTTTTTTCCCAGAGAAGAGAAGTAGCAGACTGAGGATGGGTGGCCAAGTTTTGGAGTGGTATTTCCATCCAGATTTCTTGGGTTTTTATGTGTGTAAACACAGACATAGAGAGACAAGCCTGTCGTTGTTCTAACTGAAGCTAAACACCCTGAAGTTAAGAGTGAGCCAGCCCTGCTGCTTCTGTTCCCAAGAACGCCAGGGCTGCCCAAAGCAAGGGTTTGTTGCAGAGCTACATCAGCTGGGACTTCTCTGGCCCTAGAACCAACGTCAGGGTCGTCAGTGGGTGCACCCTCTTCCCACGGCCACCTTTCCTTCCATGCTTGAACTCAGGAAGTTCTGGGGAAGCTTCAAAAGCTTCCTACATGGTGGAACAGTGGTTGTGCAGTGGGATTAGAAGGCCTTGCCACCTCTTGGAGCTGAGGACTGAGATAACTGGACATCCTGGGAGGGGACACAATGCCACCTCCTAAATCTTAACTCCTCCTGGGGGCTGCGGTCTGCTGCTCACTGTCCAAATTCACTCCTGCACTGTGCTCCTCAAGACTTGCCAAGCTGTCTTCATTTCTGAGCTCATGACCCACCCCTGTGCCATTTTCAGTTTTCGCTGCCTCAGTCCCAGCACACTTTGCAGAAGTTACAGTGGAGTTTCAGCTTGCCCGATGTGGGGAAGCCCTGAAGAACTGTGGCACATACTTCTAGGTGTGCCGGGGAGGGTCATAGAGGTGGCCTTGGGTCTAGGTGCTGTCCAATCCCGTCTCTCGGGCACTGTTCCCCTGCTCTCTTCCCTGCCACTTGGAAGCAGCTTCGCTCTGTCACAGCCAGGATGCTCCCGCCTTGGAGCCAGCCGAGCGTGGGCTGAACCCATGGGTGAATTAAACTTCTATTCTGTCTAGTTGTGGGTGCTGGGTACCGTGTCCCAGTGATGGGGAAGCTGACAAACACCCCCCGCCCCAAGATGGGACTTCCACGTCAGCCATCTGTGCCCCCCACCCAGCGCCACCCTCAGTCTTCATTGGTCCTCCTTAGACCCGCTCCCTCTCATCAGCTCCGTACAGGACTGCGATTACCCACTTGCCGTGGAACCCATTTGCTGTGAAAAGTTACTCTTTCTGAGACAAGAGCACCTTATCTGCCTGTCGTGTTTCCATTTTCTTGACTGATCCCTTTGAATTGCCACTTCTTTCTTAATTTTCATTTTTTACTAGTACACGTTTGCCGTACATAGGGATTACATTCTTTGTGGTGGGCTGATCCATGTACATAATGCATCTTAATGCTTTTCTTAATCCCCTTCCCCTCCCCTTCCCAACCCCCACCTCCATCTTTTGTCAAAGGTCTGGCTCCCTGTTTTCCACCTATCTTTCATCTTGTTCTTTAATTTACTTATATTTTGGGTTTCTCATATAGTACAAAGCGTGTGATACTTTAGCAATCCCCTGCCATCGCATGTTATAAAAGAAGTGGAAAATATTCTTTTAACCATTTAGATCCTACAGATTCTGCACAAACAGAGTGAGAGAGGTGATAATGTATTGAAAATCCTTGCTCCCTGGATATTCACAGTGAAATACATCAAAGTTCCATTATCATTTTATGTGCAGGTTTATACTGAATGATTTCCAACCCTATTTACTCTAATACAAATCTTTTTCCAAAACAATCGAGCATCTTCTTAAATTACTAAGTATTGAAACAACTACAAGCAACTTATCTTGACTGTGTTCCCTCTAATATTGACATGAAGGATTTTTATTTATATATATTTAATATATTTAGTGTTAATAAAGGACTTTTATCCTATTTTGAAATAACAATTCTTAAATCTTTTGGTAGCAAAACATTTTAGGGTTTAGCTAAGAGCCCCAGAATTGAGTCATTTCAGAGAGGGCTTAAACCAGTACTTGGTGCATTCACTTTGAGAATGGACATCTCTTTGGCGGGGCATGAACTGAACATCAAAGTTAGGCTCGAGATATACTTCTCACTGGTCTGTCATGAGATGTGTTTCTGGAAGTTAGCTGTAAGGTCGAAATTGCCAAGAGAGTTACCTGTCATGAGGTTTGTCCGTTAACTCGAACTTCAAAAATCAGAAAAGGTAAAAATAAAAATATTAGGGAAAAATATAGAAAGAGATTTAAGGAATAAGCAGAGGTTTGTCAAAGCATTGAAGAGAAAGTGGTCCCATCAGAGTAAAGGTCCCAAATTCCCAGAGAAGGAGGGTGGCAGGGAGATCAAACGATTAAGAATCAGACCCACTGAAAGGGCAGCCTTTCACACAGGACGAAGGAAAGGTGGTGATGGGCGCAGTTGTGAAAGGGAAAGAAGAAGCCATCCAGCCCCTGGAAAGCCACCCTTAGGACGCGAATGCTGCCTCTGTCCTGAAGGCAAATGGGGGATTCTAGAGAGCGGAGGGGTGTGAGTAGAGCACATTTTCCGCCACTGAGGTTTTGGAGCTCAGAAATAATTGAAAGGCTGTAAAGTTCAGAGCGCACCCAGCCGTACTGGCTTGGGAGTGGGTAGCCTGTGACAGTGGAACTCAGCCTGCAGACCTCCCTGATAAAAATCCCAGGGTTAACATGTACTGTCATCTACCAGGTGAGGCTTTCTGTCTTGACGTGTAGATTACTAAAATAGAAACTCTCTGAGGTCCTCTTTTTTCACTTAAACAACAACTGAAAAGCAACGTGTTGCTGTTGGCTGGGTCTGCAGCACATCAGCCTGGCATAGGGGATCATGCTGGGCTTCAGTAGGTCAGAATTTCCACTCATTAATAAGAGATTTCTTTGGGGAGAATTTTACATAGAATAAAAGTACAGGCTACTCATAGACGCTAAGAAAGAGTGACAGGAAATTGCGTTTTGTATTTCATAATTGTAACTTGTTTTCTTTAAACCTCTGGGTATTATCAATTGACAAGGGTGAAATTAATTAGCAGAAAGGCAGGGACTGGTGCTCCTATCAACAAGCTTCAGAAATTCATTACTAAAGCTCTTTCTTCCAGATGTTACCCAGATTCTCAGTTCCAGATTTTTCTGGTGATTTAGTACATGTTACGTTTAGCATAGCA